CTTTTCTTTTATTTAGAACGCTGATCGTGGCCGTTTGGCATTGCAGGATGATGGCAATTTAGTTTTCTATGATAATAATAACCAACCAATTTGGGCTACGAACACCTGTTGTTTTATTGCTCCACGCCAATAGTTGTCCTTTTGTTCACTTTATTATTAAATAAATATCTTCCATCTATCTACTTCCACAAAATAGTTTATAGAAAGATATTCGGAGCAACATATGGTTAGGTTGTGAGTGGGTATAGATATTTTCTTTATTCTCATCCTCACCCTCATCCTCAAGAGTAACGAGATACTCGAGGTTGTACTTTAGCATGCCATTGTTATTCTCTCCAAAATGGTGACTTTAATACACAGACTAATACTGAAAGTTGTTCACTTTGCTGAGTATCGAATATACTTTGATATTTAAATTCGAGCTTGTGTAAGTATAGCTATATCGTAAAATAAATTATTTCCATCGTCGAGAGTTCAGATAAGCTATATCTTCATATATATTTATATTCAATACTTGTAATCGCGAAGATATGTTAATGACAAATCGTTCAAATCTATAAAAGGCACATAACAACTGCTGATAGAAATACGAGACAACTTGGAGAGTGATGTCACTGTAATTGTTGACATGTTTTGTAAAGAATCACAGATATTACTATAAGTGAGGTGGCAAAGTTCGAGTGTGCAGGAGTAATCAATAACAAGACGTTGAATAGAACTGGTGGAGTTATATGGAGCCATCGAATGAAAATTGAATCTTTGACATTGTCTCAATGAAACTTTACAATATTTTAAGGGAGGTAATTGAAAACTTGAGTTATATATATGACTTAAATTTTTGCAAATTTCCTCTAATATTTATTACCAATGAAACCAACCGTAGTAGACAACCTAGGTAAGTAAGAAGTTATTCAACTTTCGCTTTTGTTATAATATTCATAATGAATGGTTGAAGATGGTCAAAATAATAAATGATGAGTAATGTATTTCATAAATTTTTTTATAGCCGATATTTTAGATAAACGAAATGAAATGATTCGATGTCTATTAAGAATAATAATCTGATGACAATATGATGGAAATATTGTTTTGAATTTCAAAGAAAGATTAAACTTCAATGGAAAATTTGAATAAAAGAGAAAATTTTCAAAACGACCATTGAGATTGAAAAATGCTTTATATATTTCACAACCACCACGATAATCAAATATATTATAGAAAACTTCGTTAGATAAATTTTCTATATGCGTAACTTATACTTTGCTACTGTATGGGTTGATTTATGAATGCTGGAAAATTAATTTCATATTGAGATTCTTGCAACATATTATAGATTGTATAATTGTGATAAAGCTACTCAATAATTGATGAAAAGCAACGTTAGTAGAAAATCAAAATGATTCATGTATTTACGTTGACGAAAAGCTTATCATTCCATCAGAGCATCTTTTAAATACTGCTCCCTTACGATCTATCAAATCATTGTATTCAGATCAAATGATATTCTATTTGTTCATTATGTATCAACTTCTATATTTCTTTTCTGTGAAGCTAGACAATTCTTCATTGAAAGTTCATTCAACCAGCTGTTATATTTTAGAAAAATCCTTGTTCTTACTGATATCGAATTTCAAAAGAAGACAGTAAAAAAATAAGATTGCATCCTCTTACAATCAGTTATCGAGAGTGCATACAACATTAATTATATATACTTTAGAAAGTATGTAGTAAAAATATTCCATCAATTATTGTGTCGTCGAGTTGGGATATGGGATGGGTATAAGTGTGGGTGTGGGTGAATACAGAAAATATTAGTACCCACACCCTTATGGCAGGAGACGTTAACTTAGATTGGAAGGAGAAGAATGAGAAATAAAAAGAGTTCGATAACCAGAAAACGCTGAGTTAGAAACTACTTTTAGGGAAAAAAGTCACCATTTTTTCTGTTGCAATAGGCCATTTAAAACTCATTCCTCTGTATGATTATCTTACTCATACAAGCAGAACACACGTTGATGTATGTGCACGAGTATTTTTCAACGTGTTGAGTTACTGATGTTATTGCATCCTATAATCGCAATTACTTTTGAATTGTGTTATGATTGTGCAAGATAATATCTCAACATGAATCTTTTTTTCTGTTCTGATTACTCTTTCACTGTTGAATGAGTCATACAATCATACAAGCATTTGTGAAGACAAGAGCAGACGTAATGAAGAGTGTGACGCTCCAACACCAACTATTTCTTCTGCTTCTTTCTGATGATCGTTTGCCGAATATTTCTATTTGTTTTGACCATTCTGAGAAGCAGATTAGTCAACATCGAATCATGTCCCATTCAACTAACTATTCCAGTATGCACTACTACAAACGTATTACAAACTTGTTTTTTTGAAAGATCTCATTCATTTCGCGAGTTACAGATCAAAATAGAGTTTAAAACGAATATTTTGAGGATCAGGAATTCGAGTTTAGATATATGATGCGTTCGATTAAGAGATAAATTCACATGACATCATATTTTCAAGGGTTTCTATCGCAAGAAAAATTTTACGCATGTGCGCTAATGAGGTCTTCTCTGTAGAAATCGAATAATTTTTTAATCTTTGAAGAAGCACTACAAAAAACTTGATCGATTTATCCTCGTAATTATCATTTATTTTAAAGTTGTCTTATCCCGATGGAAGTAAATCCACTGTAAATTTCACCGTCTTCTTTATACTTTAATTGTATACTATAATTGCATGAAGTCATGGCGTCAAAAAAAGTCGAGAATCTTGTTGTCGATCCATTCAATGATGATCTTACTCACTGTATTATTTCGAATTTTCTTTATTTGGGTAGTTGTCGTAGTGCATCCAGTAAGAGTGAACTTCAAAAGTTGGGTATAACTCATATTTTGAATTGTACTGGCTCGACATTCAAAAATCTTTATCCGCAATTGTTTAAGTAAGTTGTAATCTGTTGATGATAAAAAAGTAATTCTCCATTTTGACACAAACATTGTTCTTGATAGATATGCGAATTTAAATTTGGAGGATCGACTTGATAAAAAAGGATCTCTTCTCTACCATATTGATGCTGGTCTCAAATTTATTTACAGTGCTCAAGAAGAAGGAGGGAAAATTCTTGTACATTGCATCGAGGGTAAGAGTCGATCGCCATCAATCGTCATTGCATATCTTATGGATTCACAAGGATTATCGCTATTGAAGTCATATCAGCATGTGAAATATTTACGCTTTATAACTCAACCAAATTCTAATTTTCTTGATCAATTAGCTGAATATGAGAAAGGTGTCTGGTTTTCAAAGTACGGAGAAGAATCATCTTCGCTAGAAGAGACTAAAAGATGGCTCGATAGCAACAGCAATAATGGACCTTGAACCGATTATGCGATACAAAATATTTTAATATACATTTTCATTTTATATGTACAACAAATAAAAAAATTCTCGTATTAGAAGATCTGAGCATTCCCAATGGCAACTTTATTTTAGAAAGTAAGCAGACGTGAGAAAAAGCATAAGAATTATTTCTTTAATTGATGTCAGAAATTGAAAGGGTAAATGATGCCATGGAGGTCAACAGATATGAGTCAAAAAAAGAAACATGTCATATTTCATTCTATATCAATAGATTTTGGAGATATAACGCGAGAATGAAAATAGATATAAAAAGGTTCTGTTGTGTTCATTTTTATCTTTATATCGAATATCGTATTTTAATGTTTATAATCATGGGTTCTCGATTGAGTGCATTACCACTAAATATTTATATTCCATTCGAGAAAGGCAATAACGCTATATATCAAATAGATGAGCTTATTTTAGGCACAGTCAAATTTTCCAATGATATGCAGATCGAACTCAAACTAGAGAATATTATTGTTAAACTAGTGGGCGAGCTCATCCGCACTACTCTGAAAAAAATAATGAAGCTTTGCGGAACTATTTTTGGTTCTGCAGCATATACAGAACCAATTTATAGTTCTTTATAACAGTGAAAAATCCTTAAAAGTTTCGTACAATGATGCAGAACTATAAAATATCCTCTGAGGAAAAATGTTAAACACTAGAGATCCTGCTCTATGATACTGAATCATAACAACTTCTCTGTTTGAAAATGCTAAACCCGAAGAGGTTCAACCAATCCTGCAGAATTGTGCAAGATTTATCAGCCAAAATACGAAACTATGAAAGGGTTTGGTAAAAATGCATAAAGCTGTTACCAGCGACACATATGATTAAGCACAAAACGTACGAAAATATTCTGCTGTAGTATAATTAAGGACATTCTTTTCTAAATTTTGAAACCGTAAATTTATGAACTTCGCCGCCGAAGTATTTAGTATATAGAATCACTACAAGATCATTGATCAGTTGAGTTATTTTGGTTGACAAACAATGATTCACTATTAATCTCTTGTGCACACACACAAATACATTCTGTCTTATGTTTCTCTCTTTTTTTTTCTTGTGTGCATATGCCAGTAAGAAAAGCGATCGTTTATTTATTTTTATATGCATATGTATGACTTTAATGTCAATCGTACAATAACAGCAGATGAATTTCTCAGTAACGATAGAAGTAATGATTATTAATAAAATTCCTTCTTCAGATTGTAGTGAGAGTAAATGTATAGTCGTATTTGAGATCATTAGAAATTTATTATAAGAACATAAAAAATAAATAGAAATATTTGACTGATTGATTGTTCTTCTTCGGTCAAAACATTTTCTTTCGATTGTCACTTACCAATACTTGTAATAAGTTTATACTTTTAGATTTTTTTTTATTTTGGTCAGCGAACTTTTGGTAATTGAGTGAACTAATTTGATTACAGTTTTACACTGCACTACTAAAGGTGAATATATCGATGACATCTACTGAAGATTTTCATCTGTAATTGATCGAACCTCTTAAATCTAACACATCACATAGTATTAAAGATATTGCGTCACGTAATGAAACATCATCATTATAGACAAGAATCACTATGATTCATAAATCAACACCACCCATGTTTCCTATCTCACCATTAACGAAAAGTGATAAAACAATTAATAGATTTCAATATTATCGAATATCAACGAAGAAACCAATACCTACCAAACGTATTTCACTGACTATCATAACTCATCAGTTAACTGTACGAAAATTTTTACAAAATAGACTGTAAGAAATGTTTTCTTTGAGTTTATTTTGCATTTTCTCATTTTATGTAGTTGTTCTATAAGTGATGTCATGTGTTTTCTTGGTCTTCTGAGTATAATTCTCATGATTATCGAAAACGAGATCACTTTTGCTAGTTCTTATAATAAAGACACCATCAATATCTGTATCTCCATCATCATATATAGATATTGATGTTGCACTTGGTTTACCAAGTAAATATGAGATTATTTTCTCAAAATCAAAATCTTAAAAATAATTTTCTATATGTTAATAGTGTTTGCTCGTCTCTCTATTTAATATGTCGTTGTATTATGTTTCATTCATATTTAGTTCGTGATGTACCATTAAAATCATTTGATTCTCTTAATCAAGTATCTATTAACTTTACTTTTCTCATAAAAATATATGTTGAAAAAAGGCCAATACGTTGTCTAAGTATATTTTGTATTCTTATGTTTTTTATTGGAAGTTGGTCTACACGTGCTTGTGATTATCAACATGCAGCTAATCATATATCCATGTTTGATTCAATGTGGTTATTTATTGTTACATACACTACTGTTGGTATGTATCTTCAATGAGAATTTTTTCTCATAAAAAATGAACATATATTCTTGTAGGTTATGGAGATATTACACCATCAACGTACTGTGGACGCAGCAAGTGGAATAGATTTTGAAAATATATTTTTTCGAGAATTTTAATTAATTAGCTGTGGTTTCCATCATTGCTTTAATTGGTGTATTGGTAACTGCTCTTCTTATTTTTGTTGTTGCAAAAAAATTAAATTAATTCAAGAACGAAGAGAACAATCTCCAAATATTATTAAATTTGCAATAAAAGTTTGGTATTTAAAACGAAAAAAATAGACTTATGTCTATACAATATCTAAATCGATCGATATATTGCGAAACGTTAAAGATAAACAACGAAAATTGGTTGATAATTGTTTAAGTATAGTTGAATTAATCAATATATAACGTTATACTAGTGTTAAAACAAAAAGAATAATACGAGAAATAACAACAATGAAACTTAC